TTTTTTTTTGCCAATCCTATACTCGTATGTGGCCCGCAGGATTGTTATGTATTTACAAAGTGGCCCGCCAGATCATTTGGGTTGGCCATCCCTGTCCTAGACAGATAAACCGTCTTTTTATTAATAGTTATTTTAAGTTAAAATTTGTATGAAATTACATATTACCCGCTTATCCAACATTAATTTCAAATGATGAGTACTAATCTCCCCGACATTTAGTCTTTAAAAATTATACTGTGGAACGCAAATGGTTTAAAACAAAACGAACCTGAATTACTACACCTTTTAATCCAAAGTAAAATAGACATTGCACTAATAACGGAAACCCACTACACTCCCAATACTAATCACTTCTCCCTGGGTTCCAAGTATACAGAGCCGACCACCCTGATGGAACCGCCCACGTGGGATCCGCTATTTTAGTTTCAAACCAAATCCAACACTATCCACTTCAAAGCCTCCAACTGCCATCAATACAAGCAACGAATATTCAAATCGTACTAAATCATATTCCAACTACACTATCCTCAGTTTACTGTCCTCCTCTACCGGCAATAACGCCCCCTCAAATTGAAAACTTCTTAAGTCACTTGGGCGCTCGTTTATCGCCGGTGGCGATTTCAACGCTAAGAACACACAATGGGGTAGCAGATTGACAAACTCTAGAGGGAGATTATTTATTGACAACATTAAAAAACTAGGCGGCTCTTTCATATTTCCAAGCTGTCCAACCTACTGGCCTACTCGCACAAATCGTCAGCCTGACATACTAGACTTCTTTCTCACCTCAATTCCAAAACACATAAGATATAAAATTCAAAACAGTTGTGAAATTTCATCAGATCATTCTTGAAATAAACGGCTCAATGACCTGATAACTTCCTCGACCCTCCCTCGTAAAAGGTCCCGTCAATTGGGAAAAATTTTCCACCATCTTAGAAAATAACACAAACTTAAAAATGTCTCTAAAAAACACCAACGAAATTGAAATAGTGTCCCAAGACTTCGACAACTCAATAAAAGCAGCGATTTCCAACTCATCTTATACTCCTAATCCAAACAAACCACCAAATTCAAATCAATACGATTTACCTCTCAACATAAAAGCCCTAATTATTGAAAAGCGTCGCGCACGTTTACGTTGGCAACACACTAGACTACCATCCGACAAAAAAAGATACAATCACCTGTCCAATACCATAAAAACAAAAATTCGGATCCACAAATCCGAGTTATTCGAACAAAAATACTAGTCCTCATGTTCTAAAGATGGATCCTTATGGAGAACCACCAAAAATAAAAGATCAACCTTTCCATTTAAAGAAAGCAGACGGTACCTTAGCCTTCTCGGACATTGACAAAGCCAATACTTTTGGTAAACACCTATCCAAAATATTTAYTCTTCATCATGATATAACTCCCGAACCAAGTCACTTAAACCAAATTACAAACTTCCAACTAGCCCCCCTAGCCCACTACCAATGTCACTCCCTAACAATGAAATAAAAAACCTAATACAAAAGTTAAAAATCAAAGAATCACCTGGACATGACCAAATAACAAATAAAATACTACAACATCTTCCTAAAAAATCAATAATTCTTCTCACATACATTTTCAATTCAATGTTGAGAATATCCTACTCTCCGTTAATCTGGAAACTATCTGTAATCATCCTTATACATAAACCCAATAAACCAAAAAATGAACCCTCCTCATACACACCAATTAGCCTATTACCAGATTAGGGAAATTATTTGAAAAAGTAATGCTTAAACGAATTAGACCCATTTTCAAGTCCCACAATATTATACCAAATACCCAATTTGGTTTCAGAGAAAACCACTCCACAAGTCCACAATCCACCGAATTGTTGACAAAATAGCCTCGTCGTTTGAGATCAAAAACTTCTGCCCGGGAGTATTCTTAGACGTATCACAGGCGTTCGACCGTGTCTGGAACACCGGATTACTCTTTAAGCTAAAAATGTTCCTCCCGACTTCACTCTACTTGTTGACCAAATCATATCTACAAAACCGCTCATTTCTCGTCCGCCAAGGAGACTCCCTCTCATCACAATTCAAAATCTTAGCAGGAGTACCTCAAGGAAGTAACTTATCACCAGACCTCTATAACATTTACACAGCTGAAATTCCCAACTCCGAAAATACACTGATAGCCACTTATGCCGACGACACGGCAATCCTCTCATCCCATTCCGATTCCACAAAACAGCAAACCAAAACCTCCAAATTCATCTTGATAATATTTCAAAATGGTCCACCAAATGGAGAATAAAAATCAATACTGACAAGTCCTTTCACATTCCTTTCACTTTGAGAAAATCTGTTCTTCCTAAAATCTATTTTCAAAACAATCCAATCCAAACCACAACTCAAACCAAATACTTAGGTCTAATTTTAGACAAGCGTCTAACTTGGGGCCCACACCTCAAAATCAAAAGAAAGACTCTTAACACCAGACTTCATCTTTTACGGCCTATTCTCAAGTCCAAACTCTCTATTGAAAACAAATTACTAATATACAAATCAATTCTAAAACCTATTTGGGCCTACGGCATCCAAATATGGGGATGTGCCTACTGCCTAGCCTTCCCAAATACGGACATACAAGCCTTCCAATCTATTTCCCTTCGCCTAATAACATCTGCGCCATGGTACGTTTCAAACCTATCACTACATAAGGATCTTAAAAYTGAAACAGTCTCTAAAACAGCCAAAAAATACTACAAAAATGTACACACCAAAACAGCTAACCATACAAATCCATTGATTTCCAACTTAGCCAGTGAATTCATGCCTAATAACCCCCCACGTCGATTAAAAAGGCTCTGGTGTCGCGATCTCCTGAATCCCGACCCTAATTAAAAAAAAAAATAAAACATCTCCCCCAAGCTAGGTATCCACACTGGTGGGCCTCCCTCACGCCATTCATGTTATTGTTTATTTATATTATCAAATTTACTTATTGTATTAATTTATGAATATGACACTCGGCATGAGCTCGTATTTAGATTTAAATTTAACAGAATTAAAARATATACATATATAGAATATTAGATAAAATATAACAGACTAATAACAATAACAACAACAAATAAAACAAAGCAGACTAAAATATTATWGGACATGYTCTTCAAACATGGTTGTTAGAGTCGAATATCAAGTTCCTCTAGCCATTTGATCRCCATTGGTCCGCAGATGTGTAGAGTTGCTATCCCTCCTTCAAATCTTCTTCTTTGACATTCCTCAACAATATGGCTTGTAGTCTGTATTAGACCGCACTCGCACAACGGGGAATCAGTCATGCCCCATTTGTGTAATTGATAGTTACACCTACCTTGCCCAGTTCTTATTCGGTTTAGGGCCGTCCATTGTGCTCGACTGAGCTCAAACCCAGGTACTCTGCTATCAGGGACGCTAACTAAGAAATGGTTTCGGACGTTAGTGTTTGTCCATTTGTTTGCCCACATCTCCTCTATTGATTTATTTRACCGTGCCATGCCCCATATAGGTTTTCTGGAACTAAGTCTCTTGGGTGGGTKGTTTGCTATATCTATTTGTACAGGTAAGTCTGGATAGTTGCTCAGTTTCAGTATCATTGACTCAGTCTGGACTTGCCTGCGTAGGTCTGGAGGGGCTATATTAGACAGTACCGGCAACCAATCTAGTTGGGTTGATCTCACGGTGCCTGTTATGATTCTCGTGGTGTTATTCAACTGTACGTCTACCTTCTTGCAATGCGCGCTTCTGGCCCACACAGGGGCACAGTAGTCTGCCACGCTGTACACTAAGGCTGGAGCAGAAGTGCGGAGCACGTTTGCGTGGCAGCCCCAGCTTGTGCCTGCTAGCTTGGCAATAATGTTATTACGTGTTTTTATTTTATCTTTCACGCTTTCAAGGTGCTGTCTGAAGGTTAAAGTTCTGTCCATTCTTACCCCTAGATATTTTGGTGCTTCTTCAGTGGTGATTTTTTGGTCTTCGATTACTATGTTTAGTGTTCTACTGGCTTCTCGGTTGTTTAAGTGGAAAGCGCATGTTACTGATTTATTTGGGTTCAACTTGAGGTGCCATTTCTGAAAGTACTTTTTTACTTTTGCCACGTCTGCGTTCAATACACTTTCGATTTCTTCAAAGGATGTGGCTTGTGTAACTAATGCTACATCATCCGCGTATATAAATTTCCTCGACACTGTGTCAGTCATATCTGCTGTGTATATGTTAAAAAGCATTGGGGAAAGAACGGCTCCTTGTGGAAGGCCATTTTGTAGAATTTTGTATCGGCTCGTTTTCCCTCCATGTGTTA